GTGTGAGCACCACACCCGATCTGGCTCAGCCTTAACGTGGAAACATTTTGACCAAGGAAAAAGCTTTGGATTTGTTTGTGAATTCTAAAAATTCCATCACTTCCCTGACCCCCTTCTCCCACCCATTTCTCCAATTTTCTTGGTTTCTCCCTGTCACCAGCCTCTGGTAAAGGGGACAGCTGCCTCTTTGTTTAGTGGAAATGACTTGTCCACGTTTTTCCAGCTGAAGCTTCCAAGAACCAGCAGGGGAGATGGCAGACAGGGAATTCTGGGCAGCCTGGGAGGAGGACACAACCCCTGTGGGTACTGAGGTCGTTCATGGGAAGCCATGTCTTACCTTTGGGAATTCCCAGCCGCTGCTGCTCCTTGGCAAAGCCGCTGAACGTGGCTTTCAGTGCCTGGGACATCATTTCTTTGCTGCTGGGCGTTAATAAAGGCACATCTGCACATTCCATGTCTGAAAGAAGCAGGAGAGAAACACAGCCATGAGGACACGGGGCTGGGAAAGATGTCAGGGAATGCTAGCCAGGTGCACATGGTGTCCCTACGCTTCTGGAATGTGCTACTGGATGATGGTATCAAGGCTTTTCCAGACATCAGCCTGCTGGGCTTCAGCATTCCAGGTGTGTCTGGAGCCTGGGAAGTGGCTCAGCAGCTCCAGGCAATGAGGAAGGCAAAGAGTCCCACACCAGGGTGAGCAAGAAAGAGGGAGAAAAGCATCCCTGAATTACCACTCTGTCATCCCAGTGCAAAGAAAAGCAAGGAGAAAATTAAAGAATCCTAGAAAATTCTTTATCCTAGGAAATTCTTCCCTGTGGTGGTGGGGAGGCCCTGGCACAGGTCACTCAAAGAAGCTGTGGCTGCCCCTCCCTGGAGGGGTCCAAGGCAGGAGGTGGAATGGGAAGGGCTTCAAGGTCCCGTCCATCCCAAACCATTCCATGACTCTGAGACTCCATGAAAAAGCGAGCTGACAGCAGGCTGAGACAGGATGGAGGAGTGGCAGAATACCCATCTGAGAGGGGAAGGGAAACAAAGAGCTGGAAAATCCCACATGAGCCCAGAGTTACGTCATGCACATCCATAGCACGGAGCCACGGGTGAGTCACGGACAACGCCAGCCATCCCATGGGACAGCAGGGCCAAGCCAAGAGCCAGGCCTGGAGTCAGTCCTGACATGGACCAAACCTCTTCCTTTCCTTTTTTAAATCCCTTTTTCTAATTTATTTGGAAAGAGATGAAGCTTTGTAGCCAAAGAGTCTCACAAATAAAAGCAAACATTTGAGGCAAAATATCTGAATAGAGGTTTGGCTCTTTTCCCCGTACTTTCAATATTCCTGAAAAACATCTTTGATGGAGAAGGAAAGTCTTGAACAACCACCACCCCAAAAACTGCACTTGGTCAGCAGAGATGGAAATCTTCCACCTGAGGTTGGTTTAGTTCTGCAGCCTAGTAGAAATTTTCCATGAAAACTCAGTGGAAAAATGACACCATGGGCAAAGTCTTTGGTGTTCTCATCAATATCTGGACGCAGACATTGAAAATCAAAGAATTCTCTGTCTTGTGGAAACCCAACCACCACGGTTTTCCATCGCTCCAAGTTTGTTAAACTCCTGATTTAATAAACCTTTACACCTGCAAAATGCTGCTGAGGGCCTGTTCCAGGCAGTGCTGGTGTATTCCTGATAAAACACGGAGTCACAGATGGCAGCAGCCACCGGGAAGAGCCAGCCCAGCTGCCCCAGTCTGGAATTCCTGCTCCACTCAGCTGCTCCCCAGCCAAACTCATGGGCATCATTTAAAGGCCAAATAACCCAACACTGGGGTTTTTTTCCAAGTGGGAATCTGGGGGTTGGGTAAACAGAATTCCAGGGCAGTGGTGGAGTCATCACCGCTGGAAATGTTTAAAAAACCTGTGGATGTGGCTCTTGGGAACATGGGTTGGTGGTCGCCTGGCAGTGCTGGTGAATGGTTGGTCTCCATGATCCTGCAAGGCTTTTCCAGCCTAAACAATCCTGGTTTTCCATGGATAAACCTCCACATGCAGCTCTGTAGCACAGGGTGAGGGTTACAATGCTGCAAAGCATCCCCAGATCATCTGAGAGATGCTCCCGACGCAATTCCACTCCCAAGCCAAACAGAGCAACTTCTCTGTCCCCACTTCTGCCTCTCCCACCTCTCAGCCCCAATTCAGAAATTCCCCTTTCCCTTTCACATCCTCCAGCCAAGCCCCCAAGGCTCTCCAGAAATGATTTGCAGACTCTTGGCTCAGGTGGGAACAGTGAAACTCCCGACATGGTGAACACAGGATACAATTCCTGCCCTCAGCCCACCACACAAATCCGGGATTGCCTCCACAGTGGCAGGATCAGGACCTTTGAAAGCAAATCCCACATCCAAAGGCTATTTGGCAAATTACACTTCATTATTTACTGGATTTGGCTGGAGAGGGCACGGAAAATGAGCAGCCACCATCGCTATCTCTGTTCCCCATCTGCTGCTTGAGATAACACTGGGAGAAAGTGGCTCGGTGCCCCTTTCCCTTCATCCTCAAGTTACATTTGAATGCTCAGCTCTCCCTGCTCTGTGGTCACAGGGACCACCCAGGAATCTGCTGCCTCCGCCTGCTCAACAGCAGCTCCTGCCTGCCCTGGGAAGATGACTCAGAGCCAGGCTGAGAAAACGGTTCTAACCCCAATTTTAACACTGAATCACCAGGAGAACCTGTGTGGAGGTGAGCTCCTCAGGCCAGGCACCAAGAGCAGGGTGAAAAAGTGAAAAATGGTATTTTTATCTCTGCAATAGCAAGGGCCCATCCCTGATGCCGCTGTTTGCTTGTGCAGGATCCATGGGGTTGGCTTTGCACAAACCCAGAAAATCAATTTTGCAGTAGCGAGAGGATAAGATTTCGGTTTAGGAAGGTGAATGCTGAGCTCTGCACAAACAACCTGTCAAAACAGGGGAGACATAAAAGTGATTCTCTGGGAGAGGTCACAGGGAAGCAAACAATCTGTTCCCAAATAAAAAAAACCATGCCAGAGGACAGTGTCTATTTAAACACCCAGATCAACCCAAGTGTGCATTTCAAGGCTTCTGCAAAATATATTGTGCTCGGCAGTTTCAGGACTAAAACATCATCTGCTTTTTTCCTATGAAGTCGCAGCTACTTGTTGGAATTTCTGCTGAGGACAGAGCATCCCCAAAGCCCTGAGCCTGCAGAAGCCTTGGTTGGGTCAGCAGTGTCCCAGAGCTGGGGAAAATTCACCCAAGGGAAACCAAACGTGTGTGTGAAGCTCTGCAGACGTGTTTGGGGACAAGGCTTGGCTGGGTGGCTGGAGAAGGATGGGGTGGATGGACAGTTTTTACTCTAAATTCTGTTTCTAGTGATTTGGGGGTACTGAATTTATTTAAATAATTCAGTATTTATTTTAAAACAGGGTGGTTTATGTGCAGGGAGCATGGTGGAGTTCACCTAGCTCAGTGCAGGGCCAGGACTCAGACTTGGTGATCCCTGTGAACCCCTGGCACCCTGGAATATCCTATAACTCTATGAACTTTGCTGGTGCAGGGAAATTCCTTCCCATGGAGGCAAACCCTGGCAATGTCCTCCAGCCCTTTGCCTCCAGTCTGGGATGCCTAAAGGTCAGAGTTGAGCAGAATTTCAGGAACAAAAGCAACAAGCCTGGCTTAGCTGCCCCGGTATCAGCTTTCAGTGCCATCTGAAACCTGTTTGCAAGATTTTAATCAAACCTTGCACCAATAAAACCTCTCCTTTAGTGCTGCCCACAGAGCACAGAGCTGTGTGCAGGGCTGGGGTGGGAGCCAGCACAGGCCCAGCTGTTCCACCTAAACCCAGTTTAGGAATGCTGGGGCTTTAATCCCAAAAGCAAGCTCAGCAGCAGGGGCCAGACTGGGATTTCTGGCTGATTTTTAGGAGCCCATCAAAGCCCCCTGACACAGCTGCCACGTGCACCCGGCTGTGGGGATGCCGTGTCCTCGTCCTGCGCCGACAGAGCCGCCTTTGATTCCCCTCCTGGGAGAGCAGGCTGGGAGTATGGTTTGATTTTTAAACAGTGCCAGGAGTTGCAGTCGCCCTGCAGAGTTATGTCAGCAGCATTTGCAGCATCTGTAGAGCAGAGATGCAGGATTTGCCTCGCGTGGGGACAGCTTTTATCTGGCTGCAGCTTTCCAAGGCAAAGAGGGATCTGGGGGCTCCGTGGCTTCTCCAAACCAGGTCCCTTCAGCTCCCTGACACCCCTGGGGATGGCGCTCAGAGACACAAGAGGATAAAACACCCTGACACTGCCCTGGATGGGTTCTGTGCTAAGGGGGACCTGCCCAGAGCCCCCAGCCAGGGGCACATGGAGCCTGAGAGAAAACCAGGAGCAAAGAGACCAACACCAGCCAAATTCCCACTCTGCTCCCACCAGGCCCTGCATGTGTAAACTATTTCCACACATCTGATCTTTTTAAAGGACTTGGATTTACAAACTTTAGGGATTTTGACCTTCAAATGCACAGAACTCCTCTGCACGCCAAAGCCATTTGCAGCTGATTGCAGAAGGAAAATAAATGGCAGGCAGGGGAAAAAAGGATGCCCTGAGCAGAAGGATGGGAGCACAGTCATTTTTCAGCCAAGTTTCCACTCCGGGTCAGTGACTCCTCCAAGCTCCCCTCGGCCACTCACTCTTTTTTCCAGCAGAGCCCCGGTGTGTCCCTGTGTGGGGTTTCACCCAGTAGCTGCTGGAAATGGATGTGGGGAGGGTCAGAGTGGAGCCACCCGAACCCACAGCACCTCCTGTTCCTGCCTGGATGGATGGATGGATGGATGATGGATGGATGGATGGATGGATGGATGGATGGATGATGGATGGATGGATGGATGATGGATGGATGGATGGATGGATGGATGATGGA